CCTGGGTTCAGGCAATTCTCCTGCCTCAGCCTCCTGAGTAGCTGGGATTACAGGCACGCACCACCATGCCCAGCTAATTTTTTGTATTTTTAGTAGAGACGGGGTTTCACCATGTTGACCAGGATGGTCTCGATCTCTTGACCTCGTGATCCACCCGCCTCAGCCTCCCAAAGTGCTGGGATTACAGGCTTGAGCCACCGCGCCCGGCTCCCTCTTACACTTTTTATGCCCCTAAATAACTTCCCAAGTGAGCCTGTACATCTTGAAACTTCTGGCTTTAACTGGATTACAGTATTACTTGCTCTGTTATTTTTATTAGGTAGTATTTCTCCTTTTTTAAAATAAGAGAACATGTTTCCTAACCCAAGGAATATAGTTGTCAGAAAGTGGATCTGAGTTACATAGAAATATTTATTTAAAAATGACTGCCGCCACATCTTTGAATGGGAAATATTTATTAATGTCTTCTCCACAGCAGATGTCTCCTGTTTGGTAACAGGCTGGCTAAGCCATCTGCCTCTTTAATTCTAATAGTAGTGGTCAGAAAAGATTAGATATATACTATGTCGTTGAAATGCAGGAAACTGCAGAGGCACTGAGGGCAGAATACTGTATTCCAGTAAGATAGGGCACTTCCACTGTGCGGCATCGACCCTGCCTGCTACGTGGCTGGCGCTTGGCTCTGCATCCTCATTCAGCACATGAAGCAGCTGTCTTAAAATGCCTTCTTTTCTTACTGGTGTTTCTAAACTGACTGTTCTTTCTATACGTTCAGTTTGTCGACATAACGTTTGTAGACGTTGTGGGTTTAGTTGATTAGGCTTTGTCCATTTTTTGGCAATCATTTTTTCATTTACTATTAAATATCCCATTTGAAAGTGAATGCCTACCTTAAAGAAGGAAATACTAGAACCAGCTTAACTAGAGAACTTAAAAAACAATTTGCCCAAAATTAGCAAGTCTGTGAGTTTCTTTGCATCACAGGATTATGCTGAATTTTAACTATTCTAAAAGAAAATGGACTTTTAATGTCAAAAGTGTGCCCTAAATGGTCACCTTAATTCCTTGGTGTTTAGCATATTTGCAAAGTTGCCCCAGAAAAGGCTGATAACAGAATAAGGATTCTGGGGAGACCCTGCTGTGAGGTAGTAGTCATGCATCTGTAGCTTATTTCCTTCCAGTGGCAGTCACGGTGGGCCTTTATAACATCTAGCCTCAGGCTGAAGGAAGGGAGGAGCCTCCCAGAGAAACGAATTTTTTTTTCTCCTTGCAGTGCTGGAGACCTGTAGTCCCCACTGTATTTCTGAGGGTTGTGAGGGGCTTGCCATCAGCTGCAGGTTGCCTTATTGCCATACCTCCTTATATGTGATGGAGGAAGTTGGACTTGCCCTCCCTGCTTCAGCTGGGCACCCTAAATTGATACTTCCCTGTTTTGTGGTTTTGCCATTTAAACACATTCTTGGAATCGGTGGATGATTGTTTCCCAAAAATATGCTTTCTTCTTGTTATTCCTGGGTTTAAATAAGATACTAGTTTCAATAGTGGCAGGTGTCAGTGAGTGATTTACTAGTTTTCTTTTGAGGCCTTAACATGAATGCAGATTAGGGATTGAGTATTTAGTAGACTTCATTCACCTTGGAGCGAAGTATTTGGAATACCGTTTTATCTCACCAGAAGAGTTTCACAGAAGTACAGTGGATGTTTTGGTGATGAAACATCATCTGAACCCCTCTAGGCTGTATGAGAGCAATAGTATGTTATGATTAAGAGCATAACCTCTGGTCCAAGCTGCCCGGGTTCCCATTCTGGCTGTGTTACTTATTAGCTGGTGGCTTTGGGCAAGTTACGTAAGTGCCCTGAGCCTTAAGTCACTCATATATAAACTGGGAATAATTATACCTTAAAAAATTAATACATGGGCCAGGCGCGGTGGCTCATGCCTGTAATCCCAGCACTTTGGGAGGCCAAGGCAGGCTGATCACCTGAGGTCAGGAGTTCGAGACCAGCCTGACCAACATGGAGAAACCCCGTCTCTACTAAAAATACAAAATTAGCCAGGCGTGGTGGTGCATGCCTGTAATCCCAGCTACTCGGGAGGCTGAGGCATGAGAATCTTTGAACCCGGGAGGCAGAAGTTGCAGTGAGCCTTGATCGTGCCATTGCACTCCAGCCTGGGCAACAAGAGCGAAATACCATCTCAAAAAAAAAAAAAAAAAAAAAAATTGTATGTCCAGTGCTTCATATATTGCAAGTGTTTGCTACTCTGGCCATTATTATGTGATTAATAATCCCTTTCGCTTCACAGTGATTGGTCTATCTCATGTTTGTTTTTCAGTGATATTGTGGTCCAGATAGTAGATGCTCGAAACCCACTCCTGTTTAGATGTGAGGATTTGGTAAGTCAAGTTTGACAAAATTCAAACATAAGTCCTTTGAGTAGCAATGAGAGGGCCGCGTCACTCAGTGCAATAACTGTAGGCATACATTCTTTCCTCTCTGGCTTTGTTTAATTAGGCCTCCTCTCCTTCCAAGGTCAGGAGCTTGCATAATGCCACTGTTTAGACAGATGCTTTCTCTTCTCAAACAACCGTTTCTATCTGCAAGAAGGCACAGACGCTTGGGCTTTCTAGCTTTTAGTTTAGAAGCCACTTAATAGGCATTTGCCAGTTTCCCATTTTTCAGGAAACACCAGTTGAAACAGCATTTTATTTATTTTAGCATATTGCTGGTCACTTCACTTTTTAATTCATCCCATAAGTTCTCTCTTCTCACACTTCAGTTATGACTCCCTGTGGTATTTTACAAGTGAGCTCGGTTTATGAAACACCACAGGGGTTAATAACTAAGGTATGAGAATCCCTTGAAATAATGTAATAAAGCTTTGGGTTAGTTAACAAAACATTGTATAACATGAGGTATTCGTATTTCTTTTTGAGAACTGTAGCACATGTTATTCTTTATTATTACTATTTTATATATGTAATTTTTTGTAGAGACAGGATCTTGACATGTTGCCCAGGTCTCTAACTCCTGGGCTCAAGCAGTGTTCCCCGCTCCACCTTCCAAAGTGCTGGAATTACAGGCTTGAGCCCCCATGTCTGGCCCAGATTATTTTTAAATAGCAAAAATATTAATGGTAGGCTGGGCACCCACCATTAATATTTTCGGTGATTACATGATGGTGATTACATAATCACGCCTGTAATCCCAGCACTTTGGGAGGCTGGGGCGGGCAGATCACAAGCTCAGGAGTTTAAGACCAGTCTGGCCAACATAGTGAAACCCTGTTCCTACTAAAAAACTTTAAAAAATTCGCTGGAGAGGGTGATACGTGCCTGTAATCCCAGCTAGTCAGGAGGCTGAGGCAGGAGAATCGCGTGAATCCTGGAGGTGGATGTTGCAGTGAGCCGAGATCACGCCATTGCACTCCAGCCCGGGTGATAGTGCGAGACTTCGTCTCAAAAAAAAAAAAAAAAAAAAAAATTAATGGTGGAACTTCTTTTCAAAGCTTACTGAAAGGATTAGTATAATGCATCATGATTAAAGATCTTTAAATTTAGGATGTGACTTAAAACTGGGGCAGTCTGTAGGAGCTGGGTGGAAAAGAGAAGAAGAGAAAAACTAGAGGTGGTAAAAACTTTTATTGGGATCTTCCATATAATTAGCTTCATTTTTCCTTGTTTGAAGAAGTCTTTCTAAATCTCTTTGTCTTGCTTAGGAATGCTATGTGAAAGAAATAGATGCCAATAAGGAGAACATCATTCTGATCAACAAGGCAGACTTGCTGACTGCTGAGCAGCGGAGTGCCTGGGCCACACACTTTGAAAAAGAAGACGTGAAGGTTATTTTCTGGTCAGCTTTGGCCGGAGGCACTCACCTGAACGCTGACTCTGAGGTAGGTAATCTGAGGGACTTCTCTCGGTTGCGTTTCAAAGAGGAGGATTTTGATTTCTCATTAATATCCTTCGTTTGTGTTTTGTTTATTCTTATTGGAAATTTATGGGAATTCGAGTTTTTCCCATGTGCTGGATTAGGATGACGTATAGAAAGTAAATCACAAAGTTACTTTCTCTGTGGCTGTTGGATAGTCTGACATTTCCACTGTTGTTACACACTGATATTAGCTATATTTTTTAATTTTTAAAAAGATTGTAGGCAGCAGGTTGTATAGGAAGTTCCACAATGACCTTGTAACTGGTTTTAAGAGACGTCAGAACACCGGGGTGCAACTGAAGGATGTAGTCTGTTCTCAGGACTTGATTAGAATCCCTTTTGACTTTGTTTTGAAAACAAAGAAACCGAGTAACCCTAAATTAAGATATACCACGTTATTTTCTTAATCTTGTAACCCAAATTTTGCAGAAGTAGTTGGGGCTTTGTTTTCACTTTCGAATAAAATAGTAACTCTGAAAAGAAATCAGTGATCATTGTAGAGGTAGAGAGACCTCCGAAGTACTGCCTTTTTCCATGTCTTCGTCTCCTGTGTCTGTGTATCAGACATCTGTTGACCACTGAGTGTTGTGTCTAGCTGGCTTATGAATACAGCACCCTGCCCTCCGTGAGCTCAGTTTATAAGCTCTTATCTCTGTCTCTGGGAAGGAGTTTCGTTCCCCCGCTCCCTGTCAAACAGTTGCATATTTCTCTTTGACTACTTTAAGCCAAAGGATGCTTGAAACCAGGTAACTCGTTCCTTTTTGCCTCGAAATTTAGAAAGTTCTTCCATTCACTGGAAGGAAGTCAGCCACTGTACCCTTTGATCCGAGGACTCTGTCCCTTCAGTTCTCTCCTGCAGCTGTGCATTCTCTGCTTTCGTGTTCCTCATAGACACCAGCTCCCGGGCGCCCATCCTGGGTGCCTGTCTGCTTGCGTCAGGACTGCCGGTAAAACTGACCACGCCTAATTGAATACATTATTCCAGGTGGTGTTTGCCTAGGGCATATACAGAGCACTCATATTTCTTGTGATCAGGATATTCACATTCATTCAGTTTCTGTTAGTTCATCCCCTTTCAGAAGCTGTTTGCTCTTGGCTCATTGAACCTGTGAGCAACTGAATCCCTCAACTATCAAAAAAATAAAAAAGACTTATTAAGCAAACTTCATCCCATCTTTACATGTAGGGAAAGACATCTGTTCTGTTTTATCTCACCTTAGGATAGTGCTGTTCCCTTTAAATATGTTAATGGTTAGTACCAAGGCAGAGTTCATCTTAGAATGTGCAGTTAGCGTTCCTTACCTTCTAGCTGTGAATTTTCACATCATTGATAACACTGTTGAACAGGATAGGACCAAGGTTACAGCCCTGTGACCTTTTGTGGACTTAATAGCAGCAGTCTGTGCCAAGTGTTTTTATGTGAATACAGATATATTCACAAGAATATAATAATAATGGTTATTACCATCATTAATTAAAACTAACCCGTAAAAGTAATAAGTTAATAAAAACATATTTTTTACCAGGCACCACCGTTCTAAACACTTTACATATTTTACTCATTTAAACTTCTCAGCATTAAGTATAGATGCTTACCATTCTTAGACAGAAGAGTAGTTCGCCCTCTTAAACCATTATTTCTGTTGTTTCAAATCTTTTCTGGATGTCATTGTCTTTCTCAAGTTTTTAAAATAGATACTTATCATGATATTGCTCGGCTGTGATGCAATAACCCTATAAAAAATGGAAAGGAGATTAGTTTCTGCAGCTTTGGCCTTTCCTGATTTACTAACCAAGTAGTTGGTAACAAAGGGAAATGAACTTTTTTTGCATGATCACTAACTCTTTTGTTGCCTCCTGTTGACGACTGTCTTATTGTTAGAGCTCACCAGGTAACTTGTGGAACTGTTTTAATGTCAGTCACTGGGTTGACAGTGTATAGTTTATGGCAGATAATTCCTTCCTCCTTTTTAAGAGTTAGGCACCATTTGATTCTCCCAAGTTTTCTGGACTCTGCTGTTCTCCATGATTTCTCAGGTTGCGAAGTCTTACTTGTAACCATATCTTTAACGTGGGTATCAAACATGAACGTACTAGAAGTAGCTTGATGTTCACTGTTTTCTTGCCTGAAAGTTGGGTTCATCTTCTGCAGTTGTTCAGCTTCTGTTGTTCAACCTGTTTTCAACTTCTGAAAAATGTGACATTTTTCAAAAGACAGAGCCCAATTCTGAGTTGAGTATCTCTGGGTTTCCTTTGGTCACCTGGAAATTGCACTGTGTTCTCCAAAAGATTGAGATTTTCCTTCTTTCTTTTAATTTTTAACTTAATTATGGCAAAGTCCTTTTACTGTCTTTACTGCTTTTCCTGAGGCCGAACTGCTCCCAGCTGTAGTTTTTCTACTACACATTGATGTTCAGTTCGCATTCTTGTTTTTCTGTTTCTTTCATATTTTAAAATGACTCAAAAGAGCTCACAGTGAGGACACTGACTTCTTTACATTCACTGCTCATTACCATAGAACTTGCTTCCAATTCTATATTTCTCTCATAAGCCAGATTTCTTTTTGAGTTGCCAGGCTTGATTGTGAAATCATCCTATTTTTCCTGGCATTTTGTTTTTATTTCTGCTTTCTTAAGATTTAGGATACATGTTTGACTGAATTCATCGTGCCCCCTTCTGTGCCTGTTAATCATTCTAACACAAAATTACTTGGAAATCATACAAGCTTTCCATTACTTTCAAGTCCCGACAAATTCACCCTTGTTGATAAGAATTAGTAACTGTAAATTGCCTTTTTTCTGCTTTGTTGTCAAGAGGGATTCAGAAGAATTAACACACCCATGAGTAGTAAATGATTTTTACCTTTCCCTTTCCAAAGGGAATCTTTCATCTCTTTCATTGGTAAATTTCCACATGTGGAATTGAGTTTTGCCCCTGCATTTCACACACACAGATCTGTGCTCCATGGTACTTTGACTTACTAAAAGCAATTAAGAGAGGAGAACAGTTTTTTTTAAACATGCCAACCACTGTCTTTAAAAATACAAATGTAAAACGAACTGCAAATGGCAAAGTATGCCCTTGCTTTGTGCAGAGTATGTTAAATGTGTTGTTGCTCCTGAGAAATGCTTTGTTTTATTATGCAGCCCATTGCAAAATAATGTATTGCCAAAGAATTAAGTTTAATATAAGCCTTTCCCCTTGCTTTCTTTGAAGCGTTTTTGTTGTTGTTGTTTTCTGTTTGTTTTTGGAGAGACCCTGTCTCTGGTCTTGAATTCCTGGCCTTGAGCAATCCTCCCACCTCAGCCTACCCAAGTGCTGGGATTACAGGTGTTACAGGTGTGAGCCATCACACCTGGCCAAAAGAGTTATTTTAAATTACAAAAGCAATACATGTTATGTGTACAGAGTTCAAATAGTACTGAAACATATAAAGTAAAAAGTGAAGGGAAGGTCCCATTTCTCCTCCCCTCCAAGAGGGCGCCACCATTGATGGTTGTCTGTCACAGCAATGAAAGGCTTTCATTGTCTCCTCCCTATATTCACCTTTCAGTCTCCATCAGAACTTTGCTTGTCCTCTGTTCATCTTTTTTTTTTTTTTTTTTTTGAGACAGAGCCTTGTTCTGTTGCCCAGGCTAGAGTGCAGTGGCGCCATCTCGGCTCACTGCAACCTCCACCTCCTAGGTTCAAGCAATTCTCCTAAGTAGCTGGGATTACAGGTATGCACCACCACGCCCAGCTAATTTTTGTATTTTTAGTAGAGACAGCGCTTCACCATGTTGGTCAGGCTGGTCTCAAACTCCTGACCTCAAATGATCTGCCTGCCTCGGCCTCCCAAAATGCTGGGGTTACAGCGTGAGCATGGCGCCCGCCTGTCCTCTGTTCATCTTGCATAACCAATTCATTAAGTATCTCGTCTAGAGTGGAAACTGCAGTTATGTACTTCTGAGTGTTTCTATTTTATCAGGAAGAGGTAAACAGAGATGATAGACAAAGCAACACAACTGAGTTTGAAAACTCCAGCTTCGACGAGGCTGAAATTTCACACAGTAAGACCAAACATCTCCCAGCCAGAGACTCTCCTTTACTGAGTGAAAATCCCACTACTGATGAAGATGACAGTGAGTATGAGGACTGTCAGGAGGAAGAGGAAGATGACTGGCAGACGTGTTCAGAAGAAGACAGTCCTGATGAAGAGGACCGTGGCCAGGACTGGAAGGAAAGCTGTATGACAGATTCTGAGGCTCCGGGCAGGAACACCCTGCAGAAGAGGCAGATACACAACTTTAGCCATCTGGTATCAAAGCAGGAGTTACTAGAGCTTTTTAAGGAGCTACACACCGGGAAGAAGGTGAAAGATGGACAACTTACAGTCGGACTGGTAAGATGACATTATGTCAGAACATTGTTACCACGTAACGTCTTTATTCCCCATTCCTCAGTAGCTACATGAGGACCCCAGAGACTAACCAGGCTTCTGGCATCATAGGGAACATTGCCCACTTGTTGCCCACTGGCATCATGAGATTAGGCAGTGGGACAGACAGACCCCAGCTCGAAGGAATCAGCTTCCTCAAGGGTTGAATTGGTAACATGCCTGTTCACATTAAATGCATCCTCCAGTCTCCCTGCAGTAAAGCTTTTCCTGTCTTTTGAAGGACCAAGAGAGCAGAATGAAAGAGATGTTATTGTTGTCTTCAGACTTCAGCCCAGTGTTCTTTTGACACCCTGTGATCCTTGCCAGCTTATGCTGTAAATGTTCCAGATGCTTATTAGGGAGAACCCCAACATCTTGGGGCTGGACAAAATATGACAAATGCATGAGTTGCATGAACACTGCAGAGCATGGCAGATAGGGGAAAGTAGATCACATCCCCAGCTTTATATACCCTAGTTCCAGAAGTGGCTGTGGAAGCGCCCAAACCCCAAGGGGCTACAGCATGGTTCTAGGTGGCCCCATCCTTAGCTAAGGAGATGTAAGATGTTAGAGAAGGTATTTATTATAAAGACCTGTCCAGAATATAACAGTGAGGGAAAGGAGATCGTGGCAGGTTTAAAGTGTCCTAGCTTTTCAGTTGCATGCTAAGTATAGCTAATCCTAATTATTTTTGAGCCCCCTTCTCTCCTGCCCCAACCCCCTGCCCCAAAATGCCCGCTTAAAATGACTAAAGTAGATTAGCATCTTATTTTACTGCACTAGTTAAAAGAGCTGTCTGTGGAGTCAGACAGACCTAGGTGTAATTCCCAATTCAGCAGTAGAACTAACTTGTTATAAACTCTGGGAAAGTTGCTTAATGTCTTTGAGCTTTAGAGCTTCCTTCTCTATATTGTTGCTAAAAATTTGTATCAGAAAGTTCAGCTTCTCTACAAGTACCTTTCTTTCTCACATTTATGGAAAAACTGAGCAGCCTTCCTCATTTTCTGAATTTCTCACTCTAGAAATTCTGTAGACATTTATTGATCACCCGCCACATGCCAGGCAAGAATGCTGACTCTAACGAAAAAGTGATTGAAAATTTAAAGAATGTGTGTGGTTATTAAAATGTCCATCTGATCATCCTCACCCAGTGTGGGAGATGCGGTGGAAACAGCTGCCTGTGGATGAGGCAGTGAGGGAAGGCGGGGAACAAGGGGATGAAACAGCAAAACCTACACAATTAAAATGTGCATAGCCTGACCATTTGTCACTGGAGTCACATCTGAATAAATATACCCTCATCACAGGAGAAAAAAGGTGTCTCAACAAACACAGAGAGCATCGATTTCAAATAATTTTCCAAAGTAACCAGATGCTTATGCTAGTCTTGCCACTATCTGTAATGCCTCTGAGTCTTTGATAGATGTACTGTTTTCCTGTTTGGTAACTGCTGAGTCTCTTCTAGGTGGGCTACCCTAATGTTGGTAAGAGTTCAACAATCAACACCATCATGGGCAACAAGAAAGTATCTGTGTCTGCCACACCTGGTCACACGAAGCACTTTCAGGTATGTCTGTAGTTCTTTGCCACTTGTATGCAGCTCTTTCTTCGTCTGCTGTATGCCCAGCTCAGGCCTCTTACTTGTCTTTCAGACACTCTACGTGGAGCCTGGCCTCTGCCTATGTGACTGCCCAGGCTTGGTGATGCCATCTTTTGTGTCTACGAAGGCAGAAATGACTTGCAGTGGAATCCTCCCAATTGATCAGATGAGAGATCACGTTCCACCTGTATCATTAATATCCTTTCTGCTTCAGAAACACTGTAGTTATTATGTGCGTACTAGGGCTTCAGGTTTGTTTTGGGCATTTGAGGGATTCAGATCTGATGAAGAATTTAAAATACTAGTGATCTGCACGAGTTCATACTGTGAGATAGCATGAGAACTTCAGAATTAGAACTTCATTTCCTGATTCCAGCAGTGTAGGAATGGAAGAATCCAGGTTTCAGATACTCAGCTCCAAGTTGCAAACCTATTTAACAATGCCGTTTAGCCATTTGAATGACCTTCAGATTTAGCCAGTTGAACTTGCTTAACCTTCCCAAGTACTTTGCTTTTCTCTAAGTGGGGAAAATCATCTATATCACGGTTGGTTATATTTAATCAGTATAACTAATATATATTGAATGCTTTCTATGTGCTTTTCTAAACCCTAACCAAGTATCTTTTAATCCTCAAAAAACAACCCTTAAGGCAGACACTGGTGTTACTCCCATTTCTTCAAACTTGAGGAAACTGAGGCACAGAGAAGTTAAATAATTTATCTAAGCCCTTATAGCTAGTAAGTAGTAAATTAGGAACTCTACTGCCTCTCAGTAGCATAATGAATTAACTTACATAAAGCATCTAGGACGGTCCCCAGCAACAAAAAGGACTCAAAGATGGATTTGTAAGAGCTATGCAGGGGCCAGGCATAGTACTTCATGCCTATAACCACCAACACTTTGGCAGGCCGAGGCGCATAGGTCACTTGAGCCAGGAGTTTGAGATCAGCCTGGCCAACATAGCGAAACCCTGTCTCTACTAAAAATACAAAAATTAGCAGGGCGTGGTGGTGCACGCCTATAGTCCCAGCTACTCGGGAGGCTGAGGCACAAGAATTTCTTGAACCTGGGAGGCAGAGGTTGCAGTAAACTGAGATAGTGCCACTGTACTCCAGCCTGGGTGAGACAGCGAGACTCTTGTCTTTAAGAAAAAAAAAAATGAAAGAAAAAAACTTGCAAGGTCTGAGATTTTATTCTATTTACAAGCTAACAAGTTTGTCATTGTTTTGTGGATACCAGCAGAAAACAGGAGACTTCATGAAACTGGCACAGTTATCTGTTGGCTTCTAAGTAGGGTAAAATTGCAGACCCTTCATAACTAAGGCCATAGCTTATTTATAGATATATCTATTTGAAAAAGTGTATACCTTTTTTTTTTTTGAGATGGATTTCACTCTGTCACCCAGGCTGGAGTACCGTGGTTCAATCTTGGCTCACTCCAACCTCTGCCTCCTGTGTTTAATCAATTCTCCTTCAGCCTCCCGAGTAGCTGGGATTACAGGTGCACGTCACCACGCCCAGTTAATTTTTGTTTTTTTTTTTAAGTAGAGACGAGGGTTTGCCATGTTGACCAGGCTGGTCTCAAACACCTGATCTCAGATGATCCGCCTGCCTCGGCCTCCCAACGTGCTGGGATTACAGGCATGAGCCACTGTGCCGGGCCTTTTAAGTTTCTCTGCAAATTAACAGTTAGACATGAATCATTTATTGCAGGCAGCCTCAGGTTAGGTACTGTGGAAGACAGGGCATAAATGGAGATGGCTCCTGACTTTTATGAAGCATCAGTCTGTTGGGGCACATGAGGCATGTATGTGAATAACTAGTACAACACAGAATATTGTTAGTGGCTTAAGGAAACTTCAGACAAACTGTAGATTAGACAAAGGAGGAAAAGTAACCCCGCATAATTGTAGACATTAGAGACAGAGACTCCACTTGCTTTATCTCTAAATTAGAATCATCTCACAAATGCGCGATCTTTTCAGGGTAGAAATGTGTCATCTTTAAAGTCTGCTTCAGAGATATTTTAAATTATTACTTTAAAAGAATTCCTATGGAAGAGTTGTTGGAACCTAAGGCCTTGTTTAAAAGGAAAAAAATGGCCGGGCGCGGTGGCTCAAGCCTGTAATCCCAGCACTTTGGGAGGCCGAGGCGGGTGGATCACGAGGTCAAGAGATTGAGACCATCCTGGTCAACATGGTGAAACCCCGTCTCTACTAAAAATACAAAAAATTAGCTGGGATTACAGGCACACGCCACCATGCCCAGCTAATTTTTGTATTTTTAGTAGAGACGGGGGTTGCGGTGAGCCGAGATCGCGCCATTGCACTCCAGCCTGGGTAACAAGAGCGAAACTCCGTCTCAAAAAAAAAAAAAAAATAACTGAGTCTTTTAAAATTAATCAGTAACTATACTTTTGCTTTGGAGAGGAGAAAGTGTTTGTCATACAAGTAACGAAGTACCATGTTCCTAGAGGTGCGTTTCTTATGCCATGGGGAGGAGGGAGGCAGTTCAAGAGAATGGATTCCCTGACAAGCTTACATTTGCCAGAATATTCCAAGGCATGTTTTAGAAGTTACCTATGGGATTAATATCATAAAGCCTGGAGAGGATGAAGATCCCCACCGGCCTCCAACGTCAGAAGAGCTGTTAACAGCTTATGGATGTAAGTTGCGATTCATTAGAAAACATGAATAAAAATAACAGCATACCTAATTAATAGAAATGAGAATAGTAATAGTACCAGAAACACTATTGTGCAAAGATAGAAATGTACACTATTTCTTTAGCATTTTCAAGCCGTCTTCCAGGGTGGATGTTTTTGTCTCTGCTGGCCGTGCCTGCAAAGTAACCTGAAGTGCAAACAGCTTCTAGGACATTTGCTGCTTTGATGGTACCCACGTGCAGGCACAGGGTTCTCATCAAGAAGAAAAGGGCTGTGTGGAAGGACGTGGGTATGCGTACCAGAGCGAGACAGGAGAGGTATGAGGGAGCACCAGCAGAAAAACCCTCAGAGACGGGACGGAGTAGAGCTTGGTGAGGAGAGGGGCACAAAGGGCTCCTTCCATCAGCCCCGGAAACCTTACTTGACATTAAAATGAGCCCACAGCCATCCACCTTCACATTTATCCCCATTCCACATGAGAACCTGTGATTTCTTACTTTAAATGTAAACTTTAAAGGTGGCCTGGAGAACCTGTGTCTACCTAAAAAAAAATAACAGTGTTAGGAACATTTCCATGCATGTGTGGCTTGCCTTTAAAGGGATTGCCACTTGCTGGGAAGGAGTTCAGGTTGTTTGAGTATTTACTGGCAGAGAAAGGTGAAAGGTGATTTGATATGAATCACACTTAATCAAACTTTGAACATAGAGACTCTAAAGAGGAGAAATACTGAACACTTGTGGTAAGACTATTGTCATTACAGATTCATAGAGCAAGAAAAGACCCTGAAGATCACCTCACCTCCTAGCCCCCACCTTTTTTTTTTTTTTTTTTTTTTTGAAACGGAGTCTTACTGTCACCCAGGCTAGAGTGCAGTGGTGTGATCTCAACTCATTGCAACGTCCACCTCCCTGGTTCAAGCAATTCCCCTGCCTCAGCCTCCGGGGTAGCTGGGATTACAGGTGCCCGCCACCACTCCCAGCTAATTTTTTTGCACTTTTAGTAGAGATGGGGTTTCATCATGTTGGTCAGGCTGGTCTTGAACTCCTGACCTCATGATCCACCCCCTTCAGGCCCCCAAAGTGTTGGGATTACAGGTGTGAGCCACCACGCCCAACCCTAGCCCCCGCTTTTAAGAGTAATCTGAACTCAGAGCCTGAGCTGACTCAAGGTGAGGTGGCTGGTCAGTGGCATACCCTGGGTGAGATCTCTCTCCAGGATGTTAGCCTGGAAAATGCAGAAAGGTGGACTTCCACCAAACTTTCAATTTGATTGTACTTCCAGATAAAACTGAAAAGAATGAGTCTTTTTAAATTTTTCATCTAATGCTGCCTTATAAAAGCTGAGTAAGGAAAAAGCCAGCTTGTAAAAGCAAAAGACCACACTCACAGTTTCTAAGTTCACTATCTGCAAGTGCATATAGAATAAAATCTCTGGCTGAAAATTTTCAAAGATATTGCCAAATTAGTGTCATTCATTCTACTTTGTATTTCTTTAAATAGTTGTGAAGTTGAACATCTTTCCAAATGTTTTATGGCCATTTATATTTCTTCTGGGAATCACATTTTCCTATACATGGTTCCTGTCTTAATGATTTCTAGAAGTTCTTTGTTAAATGTGCTACATGTTTTTCCCAATGTTAGTTTATGGTGTCTTTGGCCCCACAGAAGTTGATGATTTTAATAGACTATATATTTCCTTTTTGATTTGACTGGGTTTGGTGTTAACTTGGGAAGGTCTTACCCATCCCAAAAAGATAAAACTATCTTCCTGTAATATTTACTTTTTTTTTTTAACGTTTAGATATTTAATCTGCCTAAATTTATTTTTGTATATTGTTTGAATTAGGATTCTAACTACTTTCTTCTGACCTGGAAAAGCCAGTCGACAGCTAATATGTGAGGGAGCTGAGTTTTGAACCCAGCCTGTCTCCTGTGGCCATGTTCTTAACCACTGTGTTTTGCTACTCCTCCAATTGAGTTAGTATTAAAGGGATCTTACTGGGGGAAAAAAATGTAGGTATATCATTAAATAAGAAAACTTAATCTATTGCTTTTTGTTTTGCAAATAGTATTGACAATGTAGCATTCTCCTACAGGTAGCCTCCATGAATAAATGTTTAAAATAAAGAGGCCAGGTGCAGTGGCTCATGCCTGTAATCCCAGCACTTTGGGAGGCTGAGGTGGGCAGATCACCTGAGTCAGGAGTTCAAGACCAGCCTGACCAACATAATGAAACCCCATCTCTACTAAAAATTAAAAAATTAGCCAGGTGTGGTGGTGGCGCCTGTAATCCCAGCTACTCAGGAGACTAAGGCACCAGAATCACCTGAACTCAGGAGGCAGAGGTTGCAGTGAGCTGAGATTGCACCACTACGCTCAAGCGTGGGCGACAGAGCGAAACTCCATCTCAACAAAAAATAAAAAGATAGAAGAAATAACTGGAGTAGAAAGGAAACTGAATTTGCCTTTCATAGCATGGTGCTAGGTGATTGTTAGGATATCAGAAGTATCTAGTTTATTCTCCTGGATTACCTAGTGTTTTTAATGCTAAACAAAATATATTCTACAATGATAATTTATTTATTTATTTTTTTAATAAAGAGATGGGGTTTCACCATATTGGTCAGGTCAGGCTGGTCTTGAAATCCTGACCTCAGCTGATCCACCTGCCTTGGCCTCCCAAAGTGCTGGGATTACAGGTATGAGCCACCACGCCCGGCAATACCTAATTTTTTAAAAGACAGGAGTAAGAATGCATAGTTATTAATAGAAGCTACATCACCTCAGTTGTCTTTGTTGTGATACTCTGTCATCTGAGATTTTGCAAAATTCTTTTCACAGATATGCGAGGATTCATGACAGCGCATGGACAGCCAGACCAGCCTCGATCTGCGCGCTATATCCTGAAGGACTATGTCAGTGTAAGCGAACCCTGCCTCTTATGCTCTCGAATACCTAAGTCTTTTTCCACATTCTGTGTTTAGATAATGGCAACCTGGCCGGGTGCGGTGGCTCAAGCCTGTAATCCCAGCACTTTGGGAGGCCGAGGCGGGTGGATCACGAGGTCAAGAGATCGAGACCATCCTGGTCAACATGGTGAAACCCCGTCTCTACTAAAAATACAAAAAATTAGCTGGGCATGGTGGCGCGTGCCTGTAATCCCAGCTACTCAGGAGGCTGAGGCAGGAGAATTGCCTGAACCCAGGAGGTGGAGGTTGCGGTGAGCCGAGATCGCGCCATTACACTACAGCCTGGGTAACAAGAGCGAAACTCCGCCTCAAAAAAAAAAAAAAGATAATGGCAACCTGTTCGATTATAAAGGAAATATTTTTTCATTGAAACTGGAGCTGTGTTCTTGATCTAGGGTAGTTAACGTTATATGTATTAAAAGATGGAGGTCTCAGAACACCTATTATGAGTGAAAATCACCAATTTATGCATCCGGCTTTTCCGTCTCCTACAGCCCTTTGCTTGTTATGACTGCAGTCATTGTCACAGTCTTTGTAGTAAAGCTGTTTATATGCCTAGCTCTGTATTTCTCTAGTAATGATAATATTAACAGCTAACGATTCTTCAAAGCTAACCCTGCTAGAAATAGTTCTGTTTTACGTGTGTCTTCTCAGTAAAAACACATAACAAGTCTGTGAGACTATTATTTCTCCTATTCAAATGAGAACATGCTATTTGGGGGTTTCCCCATGGTAAAATGGAGATGAACTGGGTCTATCTCATGAGATTATTGTGTGTGGGGGTGGGCAGTACGCTCAATGTCTGGCACATAATGAGCCCCCAATAATTGTTATGTATTAAGTTTAATTCTTTCCTCAAGTAAGCATTATAGGACCCTGTTAATAACCAGTTGTGAGGGTTAGGCTTCGTTTTCTTTTTTTTTTTTTTTTTTTTTTTTTTTATTGGGGGTTTTCTCCTTTTCCCCGGGGGGGGGGAATGGGGGGGGACTGTGGCCCCCCCAACCCCCCCCCCCCCGGGCCGAGGGACTTTTC